CCAACCAGTTTAGTGTATTCTTGTCTCATATTACCTGTCTGAGGAACCAGAGGGTCACAGTTATATGTCTGGAAGAAAAAGTTACATACATGCTAGATGTCTGGTCTGAGTGGCTATGGTTTGTGGTCTAACAGTATGAAGGTGGTGAAATTCAGAAAATTAGTAGACGGTGGTAGAGTGCACTTCAGCAAAGAGAGCTAAAGAGTTCACAGGCTTATTAGTGGGGTCTGAAGTCCTGGCAGGAGGATCTCATTCAGAGAGAATTTGCAGGTAAGAAAAAGACCATCCTGAGACTAGAAGGACTTCTACTTTCCTCCAGTAGGCAAAACAGTGCTCCTACTGTATCAGCAACCAACCACTGACCAGAGTATTGGAGCCAGAGGGGAGAGAGCGTTAGAGTGCAAGGGAAAGACAACTGAATAAGAAAATCATAGAAACTAAAGAAGCCACCTATAAATGAACAAAATCAGTTATCAGTAACAAGGGAAGACAACAAACTTAGGGTAGAGAAGAGAGAAACTACAAGATTCCTTCAAAAATTTCTTGGGGAAATGGCTACATTTGATCAACTGGGGAGACAGCAAAATGTGGTCCTTTCCTTTGAAGACACTGAATTTTTGGCACTTCAGTGTCAGGGACAGCAATTTCTTGCTGAGTTCTGTCTCTGTTCCATCTGACCAGATGCAAAAAAGAAAGCAACAAATGCTGCTGCATTGAAAAAGTCCCAAAGGACGTCAAAGCCCAAACACTGGGACCAAGGGAAAGAGAGGAGTCCAACTGTCTGACCTTGCAGGCAATTTACCATATCAGAAGCTATAAACAGGCTAATTCTGATATAATCGCACACATAAACATATCCTCCCAAGCAGCTGACACAAATCCCTCACTGATGTTTTTGTTTATCCAAGATGTTATTCACACACTACCATTTGATACCTGTTTGGGCAAGATACTTGTACAGTCAGGGAAGATGAAGGCTCAGTATAATGTACAATTAAGGTACATGCTGGACAATTAGGTAATTTGAATTATATTTACATGTGCCTGTATCTATTTGTAAGGTATTTTGCTTTTCTTTAACTCTGTTACAATATCTGTTAAGAGCAATTTACTTGATTACTGTTAACTGATAAGTATGAGACTCATCCATTCAAAGGCCAAAATAAAAACCAGTAATGTTATAGCCTGACCTCTTGTATGATTGCAGAAATTGAAGAATCAGGGACAGTAAGATCTGTTCTTGGCCCAGGTCAGAAAATACTTTCTAGTTCTGTTATTGGCTTAGCATCCCTGTTCTTTTCCACTTAATTATTTTATCCCCATTCTGAGCTTTCTTAACTGTGTAAAAATAAGATAACTTGGCATAAAGCCATAAAAAGGGAGCCAAAATGATTGTTAAGGAAGAGAGTGGAAAAGGGCAGTGTAAGGAGTGGGGATACAAGAGAAGAACTCAGTGGGACTTTAGTACCTCAAATAAACAATCTATATTATTATTGTCACTCTTCATCTCTGTGTTTCATTACCACAATGTAGGTGATTGCTGCCAAGCCTGAGGAAGTATCAGTGATGATTTATCTTTTGAAGTTTAGATATTTGTAGCTAAATAAGTTTAATTTGATTATTTTCAGAGCTAAGTCCTTTGTCTTGGAAGACTATCCCTACTTCAGTAAAACTGCTCTCACTAAAACCTTTCCTCAAGTCTGTTTTCAAGCTAATATTAAGCCCATTTCACCCTTTAGCACACCACAGAAAGAGACGGAAGAGATGTTCACTACAATTCAAGAAATTGAAGAATGCTGAAATCTAACCTGCAAACAACCTTTCCACTTTCACAGCTAAATGTTACAACTACCCTTTATTTCTTGACAGCCTGCATTCCTGGGTCCCAGGTGTAAATACTTTGGAAATCTGAGATACAAGGCTTTCAACTGTATGCTGAAAGCCGTAAATATCAGGCACAATTTCCTTTTATTTTAATGAGTGTGTTGTCATGGAAACTTTGCAGTGGACTCTGGCTTCATACTCAAAACTCTTGAGGTTTCTGGCAGTTCCCTGATGGGTCCTGTCAACTTCTCATTCACAGGAAGTGATAATAAAAATTCACTTTCCTGTTCAGTGAACCTTGAATGAACTGAAGGAGAACAACCTCAAATCCTCTTGCCTCCTCTCACTCTAAATTTCATATGCATGACTGATAGTATCCTACTTAACCCTTTCAACAACTTTGTAAACAGCTGAGTAACAGTTGAAACCCTCTGTTGTTCCATGATCTTGAAATTAATTTTATTTTTTCATTAAACAGTTATTAAATCTGACTTCTTAAACATTTATAAATGCTGACCTCTAAGGTGAGTTTGGAGATTAAAATGGTAAAAGAACAAAGCCCCAACAATTTGAAGCAGAATACTCTTTTATTTTTTTTTTCTTTCTAGGTTTATTTCCTGATATAAAGCAGTTTAAAGCAATGGCAGAATGAGGATAATTTCCTATTTTCTGTTTTTTAATATATTTTATTCTGTAAATGTCTTACACAGGTATGCTGTATTAGTGAGTGAAAGACAATAAAAAGTCCTAAGCATCCTTTTCCAATTCACAATGATGTATTTTTCAGCAGGATTCCTACATTCAGAAAGCTCTGCTGTAAAACACCTTACCATTATGAATCTACCATTTGACTACTATTTCTTCAAGACTTCTTTAGCTGCTGAGGGAAGGTTCCTGAAATTTGTCCTAAACATGATCACCAAAATGTCTGTAGTTAATCAGGAATTTTTTCTCCTTTGCTGCTGTTCATACATTTGCTTTTGGTTTTCATATTTCCCAATTTCACAGCTATTACATTTCAATGCACTGACCCAAATACTGTATATTAAACTAACTTGTCCCTCCCATGGCTGACTATAGATGTGTCTGCAAGGCAAAGAAATGCTTGAAACAGGTGATACTGGGTGTTCATTGGCTTGCATTGTGGAGTTTCAGTAACAACTTCAGTAGCATCTCTGGCATATGTCCAGCCTCCCTGGAAGTGAGTGACACCAACACAGAGCACGATCCTGCTGTGCCCTCACTGTTATCCATCAGGTCTCCACTTGACTGCACAGTCAGTTTCTTAGGTTAAGAAATCATTAATTGTTTTACCCAAATGTTGGTTTCATTGAGAGGAAGCTCAAAAATATGCAAACAAGCAACCAAATCCCCCAGCAGTGGGAAATGCCTATCCACTAATACAATAAACAGGACAAAAAGCAGAATTGCTCGCTCATTGCAGCAAATTCTAAATAATACTACTTAATCCTTCCGGGAAATTTTGTGTGATTAAATATTTAGAAACCACTTCTTCAGCCATTTAGAAAGGATCAGATAATAAAGAAGGAAGGGAAACAAAGAGGTATTAATTGCCACCAACAACTCACAAGCAGTGCTTATAGATCGTGTTCCTATAGGTAGAACATTAAATGGGCTCAGATTTAGTGCTGGTTCTGTCTGTTCATTTATGTAAGAAATAAGGATGACTACATCTGTAGACACTTATTTGAAGTACATGTAAAATTATATACACATTATTTCAAGGAATTTTGTTGTTAGAGAGATTAGCAGATTTGTTACCTGAAACATTGCTGATCAAGAGGAAGAAATAAATTAGTGACACAAAAATATGAGTTATATCAACCTGATGTGGAGGTGCAGCAGAAGCCTCAAGTCTTAGTGAAGTCTACCATAGGACTGAGTAGCAAGAGAACAAGATATTGGTGAAGGGAAGCTTAGGTAAGATGCAAGAAAGAAGATAAAAAATATTTGAAATTAAGCACTTACCAGTAGATGTGTGCATTTCTTCTACTAGAATTTTAAGTATCAAGATTGCCTGTGATTCCAACAGGTTTTTGCTAGATAATCCATCACTATTATTCTTGAAGACAGATTCAGGGGAAACACTATGGGTTTGTGTGGGCAGCACTGACTACATGACTTGGTCTCTTCTGATGTTAAAATCCAAGAAAGTGATTATCATTGTGTGAGTGGAAAAATCTGTAAATCCCTTCTCCAATCCATTGCACCAATGTGAAGACAAAAATTCATGCTGAAGTGGCTGCTAAACTGCCAGATTAAGGTTCTCACTCTCTTCAAGCAAGTGTCATTTTGCAGCAGGTGCTTTTGTCTTTAATATTGTCTCAAAATATATTAACGCCTAATTGATTTCAGTTCAGGCACAGGGACACCCTGCAGCACTGTTTCTCTGGATATGTGTAGATCTTTCCTAGGTCAGTAGCAAAAACCGACCCAATATGTCACTTTGTCTAGGAAAAGTATGATATTGTCCTACAAACATCTAACTAGAAAGTGCACAAAAGCAGAAAAAAAAAATCATTCACATAATTCAAGTAATAAATATGCACACAGTTTAACATTTCTGCTTGGAAATTCCATACTGACCTTTGGCAGAAATTCTTTTCAGTTAGAAAAATTGTTCAAATAATGATCAGCTACACCAAATTAATTATTTCTGGTTTCAGATACTCTCTCTGTAGAAAACTACCATTTTAGAGTTTGTGTTTGTCATTTAACAGTGCAGCCCTTTCTTCATGTGAAACTACTTTGTGATGGAGGAAGAATTTGCATTTTTTCTTTACACGTTGCAAGTATTCCCATCGACTTCAAATGGCCTTGAAATCAACGGAGCTGTCACATCCATAAGTCATCAGAGTGTCAGCCAGACCTTTAAACAGCAACCACCACACCTAGCTACTTCTGCAAAAGAATCCAATCATTTACATATGGCACTTTTGAACCCACAGATGCCATACTCTCATCAGAGGTTTGAAGAGGGAGAGAAATTAAACCATCATGTGTCTCCGTAGGACCCACTATAAAATTTAGTCTTCGTTCTGTTTCTTCAAATGAACAGCGTTATAATGAAGTTATTAGTAAGCTTAAAGATGTTTCAAATTAGGCTCAGTCTTGTACTAAAGCAGCCTAGAAAATATAGAAAACATGGACCCTTACTTATCTGTGGTCATACATCTCAGATGCTTGTCCTTCAAACTGCTTATGTGGTAGTTTCACAATCTCATCAAGCTTCTACTACATGAATGAAAATAAAACAATTGTTATGGCAACATGCTGAGACTGTATTTATAGTGCTTCACACAAACAAACAGGTTGACAAACAATAGGAAGAAAATGGACATTAAATTACCTCAGCTGAAGAGAAAAAAACAAACATATAATGAAGTGGAAAATTATGCCACTAAAGTTTGCTCATTATACATGTGTCTCTGCCAGTTATTACTGAAGTCACTCTATTTTCTGCATAAATATATGCAATATGCATAGTTTAAAAACTGCTTCAAACATCCTGTTTTATTTTCAATATTTACAGAGACACTGAGAGAAGGATGGGTGGCTAAATACATATAAGGTGAGACAAAAATATTTCATTATGGAAAAGGATATCATAATATATAAAAATCAAGACAGAGAGGTAGAAGAATAGTTATAATAAATCATTTTGACATTAGTTAACATCACTCTGAGGAATTATGTGATTAAGCATGGCAAAATAAAAGAAGATATATATTTATGTTCAATCACACACAAGTGTTTTGAGCAAATGAAAAGTAAAAAAATTCCAGCAATTAACAGGATAATTAGAGTATTATAAACTGGTAGCAAGAAAGTGGCTTTTTAGGTTCAACCACTTACTAGATTAATTTTTTATCTCTTTGGTTAGGCAACAGAAGGGAAGAAAAACCTATTTTTCCACACAGACATGTGTAATCTCATTATATTAATTACATGTAATTAGGATGGCATCTTCTGGACAAGATTACATTATTGAAATCTGAAAAAAAATCAAAAAGCTGTCTAATTTGAAAATGAGTTATATAAAATTTGGATGCTTTGACATAGGGATGGATAATTTGGATATGATCCAATATAAATTCTGATCCCAGAGTTTTACATTTTGAACTAGAAATGTAGACAGAAACCAGCAGAAGTTATACATGTGTATATACACTGGTCATACAAGTTCTATACCCTGAGGTAGTTTTGAGACAAACAGTAATAGCTTTAGTTAAACTAAGAAATTTTCTTTTCACAGCTATACAGAAATTTAGAAAGATGACCCCATATCACTGCCTGGAGGCAGTGCAAGAGTAACGACCAGAGTAGACGATACGGCAGGGAGGTTTCCTTTACATTAGAAAAATACATCTCAGGATCCTTTATATGACCTGAATGATTTAAACAACACATGAATGGAAGACTTGTGCTGCTACTTTTCTTTGTCACAATTGAACATGAATCTCTGTGTTTTGCATTCAGGCATGCCAGCTCACCTAAGATAATAATTTAAATACAAATTCCCTCCCAGAAATTGGGGCAAATCTTGATGTGAAACGTTTGTACTTTGCATTTGTCATGCTGCTGGCTAATACCTAGCTTTAACTAAAACTCACACTGCTTTAACATTGCCAGTTTTGTGTAACTAGATTGGAAGAACAAGAAGTTCTCTGTGTGCATCTCTGTCCCAGCTGCTTATGTGTGTGTCCCCACCCCACCTCCAGGCTCAGCTGAGCTGACACAATTCTTTGTGAGGCTGCAATGCCACCAAGATCAGTGAGCTCGCCTGGCTTGAAAGTAAAAGGGTTTTACCTTGGGGTGGTTTTGGCCTGCATTGTTTCACTGTTTCAGCCAAGAGTCCAGCTTCATGAAAGCTTATGTTAGCACAGCAGAGGAGATGAAGAGGTTGGAAATTCTTTAAACTGCTGTCGTCATGGAAGCTGACACAATGTGAGACTACAATTTGAGTGGAGCAGCATACGGTATTTTCCCATATGAAACTGATATCATACCACATTAAATGTTCTGCATCTCCAACAAAACTACATTTTTGGCCCTTGTAGGAAATGGGAACCAGATTTTCACTGCCCATAGCAAACATTTGGTAATTATCTGCAAAGCAACAAAAAAAACCTCTAATTTAAAAAAAATAAGTGAAATACATTGAAGATTCTTTCTTACAAGGAAAATAAAATGTTTAACATAAATTTTAATGTTTTTCCAGGGTTTCTTTTAAAAATTTCTGTTTCAAGTCATTGGAATATGAATGAAAATTGAAATATGTCAATTATCCTATATTTCATTATACTGGTGGGGATCAAAAAGCGTACGAAGAATTCCAGAAAGTGACCATGAATCTAATCCTAATTTAAGGTACCTAATTTTAATTTAAGGTACTTTATTATATTCTAAAAGACTAATGGAAAAATCTGACCTGGGAATCAACTAAAAGTCAGGAAAGACAAGGATTTACTTAAGGCCAGTCAGAATGTTTATTTCAAAAGCATATCTTGTCAAACCAGCACGATTTCTCAGCTGTTCATTGTGAAGAAAAGTGCCCGAGAAAGGTTTTTCTTCCATTCAGTTTTTTTATTTCTGTCTGCCTCAGAATTGCATAACATAAGCTCTCAGGAGCATTGGGGTTTAACTTTGTATTGCATGACACACTTTTTCTTAAAAAAAAAAGCTCTATAAAAAATAAGCAAGATGTACATTGAACAGATTATGAATTGGCTATAGTTTACCTCAGTGTAGGAACTCTGTTTAATGGTGATCAGTACTCTGTGTTATTCAGCACCTCTGTCATTGATCAAAAATTAAACACAGCATTGAATCTAGTCTACTTTGCAAAGTCATTCGGAAAAAATGGATAATTAGTGGATCAAGACAATAACATAAAGCATTCCTATATTGCTTAGTAAATTCACAAAATTAATTTAAACACCACTAAACGTAAAGTAAAAAATCTAGAAAGATGTGACTACTTACAGAATGATGGACAATATCCTGGAAAGATGAGATTCAGACAGGAAGTGCTGGATGAGCAATTTGACATTCATTTTCAGTGGTTTGCATAACAGTCTTCTGCAATGGCAAAAAAAGCATACTTGTAACACTGCAGAGTCAGTTAAGGCTAGCATTTTCTAGCTAGCTATTTTTTAAAAATGACATTATCAAATCGTTCAGAAAACAAACCATAAACATATTTAAAGGTGGAAGGGAATGTCTTTCTGTGAGAGACTGTGAAAATTCCTTCTGCTTACTTTATAAAAATGCAGACATGCAGACAGAAAGGGAATTTGAATGTATTGTATAAAACCTTCTTGTGGAGCTATTCTCTGAAGAGTGTCCAATCCAGTGGCAAAAACTGAAACCAGACAAATTCAAATGAAAAATTATGACCACTCTTTGAACATTGTCAGGAGTAAGTTAATGAAGAAAATTATCAAGAGAAAAGGTTTGTTCCATAACTGTTAATATGTCTGAATGGAAAGTCCAACCCCAAAAAAACTGGTTATAGATCAGCACCATCCCTGATTCAGCCCAGATCATGCCCTACAGGGTGAAATCTCTCCATCTGACATATCAAGGTAAAATGCATGATCTAGTGTTTCATTTTTGCTTTAAACTATTAGAATGCCTGCTCTCAGTGCCTGGGGACTTTTACATGTTATCACCCAACCACAAAAAATCTGTTGTCCTGTGTTAAATGAACTGCTACTTTTAACATTGGTTTCAGTGTTACTCTTCACAAGGTACACGTCTAAGGTCAATTTTCAATAAAAAGAAACATCCGCAGCCTCTTACATTGGAGATCAGAGGTTGTTGGTAGGCAAAAGAAAGGCCCATTATCAGGCTAATATTTTTCACTATATTCTCCGATTTAGAAGACCTCTGCATATGATTCTTTAAAGGAATGACATTATAACCTCCTTTTTTCATTAATAAAACTCTAGAGCTTCAAATATTAGCATGGTTTTCCCATGTAGTTTTCTGGAACAGACTCCTCTTGCCTTAGTGCGAGGGAATTCGTACACATATCTATCTATCTCTACTCTGACATGCCCTTCCCAATACTTTTTTTTTCTCCTAATGTTAGAGATTTTCTTAAAAGGGCAGTGTTCTAGAAAGCATTGTGTGTGACATACTTAACAAAGTTGGCATACTTTATATAGTACAAATGCACAAATATGTGGTTTTTAAACAGCCATATTGTAAAGCCAAGGCCTTTAACACTCGTGCTCTAGAAACCAGCTGTCATTAAAATACCAGTCAAATGGGGCTCAAATTAGCCTCAGAAAAATTTTGGGATGCACAATGACCCTGGAGTCTTGCCATGTGTGGATTTGGGTTTGTGGCTCTGGTCCTGGAATTCACCCCGCAGAGACTGTACAACACACACCAAGAAGGCTGGGGTGGGACACGAGCTAGGAACAGGACCATCACAGCTAGCAAAAAGAACAGAAGGTCAAACTAGTCAGAAAAATTATTAAAGAGCATGAACAATGAAATTCTGCGTTTTCCCTGGAGATTTGCTCACATACTAGACTGGGCTGTCTGTCTGATTGGCTTTTTTGAACATGCATTTCCAAGTCCTTCCTGAGTCAGGGATGACCAGCTCCCTTCTCGCCATCAGGTGTCCAAGGAGGAGCTGGGGAAGTGGCTCTGCTTACCTCTTGAACTGAAAGGTTCAATGCCACCCACCACTGATAGCACTGCAGGAAGAAATGCAAGATTTCAGACAAGATTCAGGGGCACAAAAGGAGATGACTGACACCTCCTAATGCAGAATCCACTAGACGGGAAAAGGCTTTGATCAAGAGGGCTGAACTGGAGGAACATATGTCTAGAAATAAAATTCTTGGCATGAAGTACAAGATATTTTGGACAGGCACTACAGCAAACTCTTACTTGATGGTTCTTAGACTTCAAAGCCCTTATGGTATTAAATCTGAGACCCCATCTACCTTGCATTTATGTATTGTTATTATAGCTATGTCTCAAATAGCTACATTCTCTTTTTTAGGTGTACTACTTAGTTTCAGCTGTAGTCTAAACCTGAGCTCTTTCCAAAATATTGGTACACCTCTCCACGTTGTTCCAGTAAGATCTCAGACTTGGGTAATCTGCACTGGCAGACAACACTTCTAGCATTCTTGTCTCCCTCATACTGTCAAAAAGGCAAACAAGATATAAGAGAAGGGTCAGAGCATGCCAAGGTCCATTCACACTTCAAATAAGCTTATCACAGAGCATCTGTGACGTCCCTAAGGCCTTCCTTTCCCTTCCTCTTTTTTCTCCTAGATGCTGATGAGGAAAACAGATTTTGAAAATACCTGGAAGCGTGAATTCACACAATGGGTAAATACTTTTATAACCCTTTAAGCAAAGCAGATTGACAGCTTACTGAAAAAGAAGCACTTCTAAACACAATGCTTCATTAACCAGCTAAAATGGAAACTTCTTTCTGCAAATAAAGTGGCATCTTCTTGAGAAATATATTCTAGGAAAATGCTGCAGCTGTCATTGTGAAAAGTGACAAAATATTTTGCCTGACAAAATCTTGATAACATTTCATTTTATGTTTCAGAGATTTATACTCATGGATTCATATTTTCAAGGCCAGAAGGCCCCATTAGATGCCTTGCATGACACACATCTTTGAATTACAACTCCTTATTCTTGTACAGTTTTCAACAATTTCTGTTCTACCTAACACTTATCTTTCAAAGAGGTGTCAAGTCTTGAGCTGAAGAACTAGGGATGTTATTTCATTTCTTTTATGTTTTCCAATTGCTTTGAAATACTTGAAACCAACTTCTTACCTCGAAATTTCAGTAATTATTATGGATATATGGAATATTTAGAATACTTGAAAACAAACTGCAAAGATTAAATGCTTATTGAAAGAGTTACTAATGTTTAAAATCTGAAGGATTAGTGGCTATGAAAAAGTCAGTTAGATTAAAATAGGAAAATTTAATTTTTGCAAAGCAGAAACTGAGTAAATATATCTGGAGAGTATACATGAAATAAAACCATTTGCATATCTAGTCAGACTTGGGGAGTTGGCTTCACTTTGCTGTAGATGTTTTTAAATGAAGACTGATAATTGATGAACTAGTTTGTCAGACAAACCCACCATCCAGGTGTGTAAAATTACCCAGCCCTTCAGATTCCCAGTTGCATAGCCCAGTTCAGATTCCCAAAATCTAAGATGTGCCTTCCTTGCCAATACCTTAAATTAGTCTAAGGTGACACTACAAACTCAATCCCTTAGCTGCATAAAGAGTTTTACAGCTGCCAATACAGACACTGAGTTTGTTTCCCTCAAATTTTCATCTTTACATGGGAAATTAGTCAAGCATATGTTTGTTTTTGCCAAATAGGCATAAAACTCCATGTACATAAAACAAGGATGCAACTGAATAGCAACTAAACTAAACTTGGGAACAGAATATGCATCTTGAAAAAAACTATAATGAAACTTCTACAGGCCAGCAGTTAGAGTAGATGTAGCTAGTGACTTTTTTAGTAGTTAAAATGTGCAAGCTTGATTTCGAGGTTCTCCTTAATTTTGCCTCTAATATCTATCTCATGAGATACTCAAATGCTTAGTTGATGTGATAATGTAATTCATCATGAGATACTCAAATGCTTAGTTGATGTGATAATGTAATTCATATATCTTTGTCTGTAGGTTAGGATTAATGCAATAAAGGAATGCTAATAATTTCAGAAATGTTTTGGATAACTTCCTTACTGGTCTTAATTGCTGGCTTTAAAAGGGACAACAAAGGAAAGGTTTACAATAGCTGCTTTCATATGACTTAAATACTTCATGGAATTCTACTGGGACATGTAATGCAAGGAATTTCTGTACTGCTCTTCTAGTATTCAGTGGAATGAACAAACAGAAAAATATTTACCAAGAAATAATCACAGCCTACCAATACATTTTCACTAGTTTCTGCCTGACAGTAGATTTTTATCTTCTGCATGAAAGATCAAATTAGACTCTGAAAAGAACTATTAAATGCTTTCTTCCATATATTAATATACCAGCAGAATCAGCAGAAAATATAGCGCTGTTTTCTCCTTCCTTAGTATTAGTTTTCCATTTATTTAGGTTTTTCCCACATTAAGGATGTTCTGAGGTTTCATAAAAAAACTACTTTCCAGAAAACTTTTTCTATTTGTGCCCTTATACTACCAGTAATATCTAAAGAAGGAGGGAGTGTGGTAAGAATTTAAAATAAGTATATCAGGACTTGGTAGACAAGTGCTTTCTCACAGCCAATACTGGGAACTTTCTTTTAAAAATTTAGACATAAATTAATGATACATACGGGAATAAAGGTAAGAATAATTATATTTCCTGAGTCCAAAACAGTGGACTAACTATTTAGCAAAGTATCTAGTAATCCTTTAACCACACTTTCTAAGTAGTATAAAACACACAGAGTTTTTACAGAGGTTTTACAGAGTAATACACTTGATCCAGTTTACACTTGAATGAGTTTGCAATGTTTGAGGTATACATCAGATTTATCGAAGAGGAACACCAGGAAAAAATAGCAATTTTAGCAAAATATATCATGCTGGAATTGCATTTAGTGTATCTGCAAATGTGCAAAGAAGCAATGATCCTCATAGATAAGATAGACATGATTTAATTTTATTTTTTTTTGTCTGCCAGAATAAAAGATTTACCAGATTCTTATTTACAATTGTGGGATGCACACAGGGGAAAAAAAACTAGTCTCAAAAAGCTTCCACCTGATATCATACCACCACAATTCAACAGAAAATTGCTTATGCTTTCTTCCTCACTTTTGAATTCTTTTGAATTAAAATCAGTAACAAAAAGACATTGGTAAAAATTGTAATTGCAGTTTCTTTAGTAGGGAAATAACATTTAGGAAATTCAGTTTTCATAGTTTTTGTTTATAATCCTACATATTGTGGGAGAAAACATCTGCCCAGGATAATAGATTGTTTTGGTCAATAGATTGTCCAGTTTACAGAATGACGGAAGTTTTCAACTGTTTATATATCTAATATTTTAACAATGGTCTCAAGTTAAGTATTATGTTTAGAACGTGGAAATTACAATCATGTGGAATGGATTAGCACAAAACCCACATCAGGCTAAATTTCTCAGATAATTCAGACATAGAAGTATATGCATGTGCAATTATTGCAGTTACATGAACAAATCAGATAACTGTATACACAGACACAGTGAATTATGCACACTTGCAGATATAATTATGCTGCCTCTATATCTGTTAAGGTAATTGCCTACATGTAGAAACCAGGCCTGCAATTGCATTTGCATTTTAAACAGACATACATCTGGCTAAATAGTCATAAAATCAAGCTCAAAATCCTTAACCTCTATAATTCATAAGAAGTATTATTGACTTAATCAAAATATGAAGAATTAGAGTAATGGAAAGCATGAAAGTTCCCTTTACTAGGGGATTTGTAAATTTGTTTATAGGTCTGAAGAATGTTCTTTAATAATCTTTACCTGTGTGAAAATTGTCTTTGTGTTTCAGACAATTTATTTTTTTCTATTTTGTCAAGACCAAGATAACTTTCCATGCGACTTTACAAGGGGACTAATGGTCAGAATCCACCGTGGAGCTCCTGTCTCCTGCTTTTACTGCTGCAATATATCTTTTTTTTCAGAGATATTTTACTCACTTCTGTGCTCAAGGACCAGGCTTCTGCTGGTGTAAACTGCAATAATTATGTCAGTCTATTTCTTTTCCAGGTTATAGTGGGTAACGCCTGGTTCTTTTATTTAAAATCAAACCTTCTTGTCGTGAGTTGACACTGGCTGGACACCAGTATGCACAAAAGCCCCTTGCTCACTCCCCTGCTGCAGCTGGACAGAGGAAAGAAAATTTAACAAAGGGCTCAGGAGAGAGATCCTTCATTAAATACCATCAAGGGCAAAACAGGCTCAACTCAGAGATATAAAGTGAATTTATCATTAACAAAATCAGGGCAGGAAAATGAGGAGTAAAGTAATTGCTTAAAACACCTTGTCCCCACCCCTCCCTCCTTCACAGCTGTACTGCCTACCCCAGCAGCACTGGGAAATGGGAATGGCAGCTGGAGTCAGCTCATCACGCTTTGTCTCTCCTGCTGCTCAGGGAGAGGAGTCATCATTCACCTGCTGCACCGTGGGGTCCCTCCCATGGGAGACAGTTCTCCATGAACTTCTCCAGCGTGGTTCCATCTCATGTGCAATAAATACCTCTCTGCAAACTGCTGCAATGTGAGTCCATCCCACAGGCAGCAGCACCCTCAGACTGCTGCAGCACGGTCACTCTCCCACGAGGTGCAGTCCTTTAAGGACAAGCTGCTCCAGCATAAGAGCAGGGCCCCTCTCTCCATGGGTCTCCCTTGGGGTCACAACCTCCTCCTAGCACCCACCCACTCCATCATGGAGCTCCTGCATGGGCTGCAGGCAACAGCTGCTTCACCATGGTCCTCACCACGGCCTGCAGAGGAATCTCAACTCCACCTCCTCCCCCTCCTTCTCCACTGACCTTGGGGTGAGCATAGTCGTTCTCCTCAAATGCTCTCATTCCCCTCATCTCCACTCGCAATTAAACCTCCTCCACAAGTGTTTTGATTTCTTCTTAAATGTTATCACAGAGGTGTTACCATCACCTCTAATTGGCCCAGCCTGGGCCAGCAGTGTGTCCATCTTCAGACCCAGCAGGGATTGGCTCTGCCAGACATGATGGAAGTTTCCAGCAGCTTCTCACAGAAGTCACCTCTTTGGCACCCTGCTGTCAAAAACCAGGCCATGCAAAACAATACACTTCTAAATTTCTTACTCCTGTGGTTTTCTGTGAAAGTTTTGCAAAGCCTAAGAGGCACTTAGACACTTTTTCTGCCCTCTTAAAATGTTAAGGAATCTTACCACTCCCCTTAATTGAAACAAGCATGAGGTTCTAGCCTTCACTCTTTAGAAGATTCCTCAGCTAAAAGTTTCCATCTATTTATATATTTAGAGATCATTCAGTAAATTAATTGGAATGAGGAAAACCTGGGACTGATACCTTAATGTTTGAGTCTTCTTGTGTGTAAGGAACTGAACTTTTGACATTCCTCTGTAATATATTGACATACATCAAAAAACAGTTTGGCTCTTGGAATTTATTCTCCTCTTTCTGAGAATAATCTGGGGTACCCAAATACCTGCCAACCATTCATGAACAAAAACAGTTCTTTCTTTTAGGGTGCCAGTACCTGGAAGCCTACCGCAAGACAGATCTCTGTTGTTCCAATGAAAAACAAACAAACAAAAAAAAAAACTCGCCCAAAATACAACCAAACAAAATTTTCCTCCAAAAGTCAGTTTTGTTGTATTCCTAATATTCTGGAACAGCTATAGCAACGACAGACTTTCAGCTTTTACTAGGCTTTAGTATGCAGTTGATCAGCTTCAACAGCTGCATTAAGAAACAGTTTAGAAACAGTGTTCTCTCACGCTATACTATCTTTTATTAAAAAATCAGCACACAACATTCTCAAGTGTCCCTGAACAGAGTGTTCTCAATATTTATGTATCACATGTTTATTAAGTCAGTACAATTACAACCTTCATGTATATACTGTTATTATACTAGATCATTAAATGCTTTTAAGTATTGTTCCAAATCCTTTTCTAGAGCTGCTTTTCAGAGCAGCTGACTCTTCTCACATTTTTGCAGAATGCAAAAGGCATTCCACTCAGAGTCTTCATCTTGACTGAATCCAGAAGTATTTCCAGTTTATATAAGGGCAGTGTTTCTGCCAGAATAATTCTTAGGCTTAACAATGCAGAGCGCAAGTGTCACTACACATCTACACAGCTCAAGGTGAGAATTTGCTCTGTAGCTTAAGTTTGTGTATGTTTACATTTTTTTACAAACTTATTTACTCAGAAAGTCACATAATGCATAACTTTTTCATTCCATAGGATGGTGCATTCATTCATCAAACTTATTTCAATATTTCAATTGTACTATTGCTATCCAACTATTGGTTGGATGTCACTAAAAGTTAAAAACCTCTTCTTCTGTGTACTATATTTTTTTCTATTTCAATTAGGAACACAATCTGCTGAAATGTAGACAGTGAGCTTGTATAGGAGAGAACAGTTAATTACTTATTCTGCAAGGTTAATGAAAATTAGCACAAAAAATTATCAGCTGTTTGGCTAAATAAATGATAAATTTTTTTTGATAAAAATAATTTTGATTAAAAGTTTTTTGATAAAAAACTTTGTTTTTTTCTGCAGAGAATGCATAAGTATCATTCAAGTTTTACTAAAGGCTGTCTCCTTCAAAAATTATTTTGTAAATATACTGAGAACAAATATGAAAAATAGCAGCAGATACATTTTTTTAGAAATGTTTTCACTTTATATGATTGATCATAAATCAAGTCTTGTAAAAAAATTTGGGATTTTTTCCTTCTATTCAGCTCTTGTGATAAATTCCAACTTTTTGGGTTTGTAATCCTCTAGCTAGAAGCTGGTCTTTGTCTTTTTTAGTTCATGGCCTTTCAAGTGGTTAACACCCTTTGAAGGTAATGCCTGCATCTCCCATTCATAGTGAAACCTCTGAGATCAGAATGTTTTCCCTGTGAAGATTACTGCACATAGCTGAGAAAGTATGGAGTGTAAGAATAAAAAGCAGGCAGAACAGAGAATTTTTGCATGTTTTTCTTTGAAGATACTAACATAAATCCTCTGAAAGATGAGACACAACTCAGTTAATACTGTATTGTTAATTAAGAGTTATTTCTGCATGGGAACAACAGTTTCAGATTTTTCTTCTCTCATGATCATTTTTATGTCTGAGGAGGAGAGAAGATGAATGAAATCTTTGACATCCCAAGCTAAGATTTCTTAAAACATACGAAAAACTTGAAACATTTTTAAAACTCTTAAATTATTTTTAGTTATGACTTTTACATATGTGTATCTTAAAAAACATGTATGTAAATAGATAGTTTCAGTATGGTTGTCATGAAATACAGAATATTTTGGTACATTTTGACAATATAGCTCACTACTGTCAGTAAACCATATATCAAAAAAAAATAAGGCAATGGCAGCCATAAAAACATCATCACTCAAAACTACATGAATGGTAGAGAAATTAAAGCAGAAGGGCGAAGGTAAAAAAAAATCTTAAATGTCTTGCATTTACCAGTGTTTGTGTAGTACCATAATTCTTGTTTTTTATTTTGCCAGCTCATAAAGATCAAGAGAGCACCAAAGGGTCAATGCATGTGTACTGACAGGCTGATCAACCCTTCTTCTTTGCTTTTCTTTTTTAAACATTGAATTAAACTGAGGACAAAGGCTGGACATTTTTACATTCAAAAGAGGAAATAAATTATTAAACTTCTACAGAAAAGGTCAATGTATGCCTTGCAGAAATTGCCCGATTGACAATATTGAAAACCAAAATCCTTGTTTAGCCATAGAATAAATGTTGTTCAGCAGCAGTTATGGATACTAGTTCTGATTTTTCTGCCACTTTTAAGTGGCATAATACCACTAATTTCTGCAGAAGAAAATGCTTCATCAAAGGTGAAAGAAAAAAAGGGTTATAATTTCCTATCCTTTTAGAATGCAAACAACCTAATACACCAACAGTCTGGGTACTGAATAGGCAAAGACACATAAAATCAGTTATTTTTGTCATTTTCTATTTATTCTGACTTTTCAATGTACTAAGAAAAAATTTAACAAGCAAAATGTTTTAATGTCCTCAGCCCATCCACGGACCATCAGTGCCAACTTTTTTTAACAGAGCTTGATGTTGCGAGGAAGAAGCAGACCAATAAGAAAAAGGATGAAGGATAAGTAGAACATAATGGACAGAATCATAGACATGATACATTTTTTCTCAGTTGGAAAAAGTAATTATATAAAATGCAAGATTGACTTACACTGTTATATGTCCTCTGACCTAATTTGTGTCTATTCTCAAATATGTGCATTACACCCCTTAACTGAGTGACTTTATGAGGGTTTTTTGAATCAAATTAAAATTCAGATCCTTTTTTTATTATTTATTTCAAGGTAATATTCTACCTTGATCCCATCCTGCCTCTAGGGAAGTGAATGTGAAATTTAATACCACATAAAAAAAGCTGTGTGCTTTTTTGTATAGACAGGTTACACCTGGTGATGGTTGATCGTTGTGTTCTCCCCTCTGTGAACTTCGAGACAGAAATATCAACACTTGCTGAAGATGAGGTTGGGCATAAGACTCTCTGAGGCCTTCTGATTCACATGGTCTAGCTGCTTCCTATTACAGGCAATCGTATCATAGAATTACTGTTACAAACTAAGTAGATGCTACTTCAATGAAGTTGATTCCATTACTTCTATCAGAATGACATTCCTCATTCCTCTGATAGTTCCTTTAATTTCTGACTTAAATTTTATAATGAACCTTTGTTTTTGTGCCAGTAATGTCCTTTACATTAATTGGTTCTCCTCTTTCCCTGCTGCTTATTCCCCTCTGATGCATTTAGAGAGCAATTGTCCCTTCTCAGCCTCCATTCTGTGAGTCTAAGCCAAGATCTTTTTTATTTGCTATTGGAAAATGTGCCCTCCAGTCCGTTGATCACCCTAAACAGAAATTCATTTTAGTTCTTCGGTACAGAGACTGCTTTCTGTATTTTAATATTTTATCCCATTCCAGTTTCCTCAATTCTCTCTATTTCTTTCTTCAAGATGTCCCAGCACATCTCTAATTTGATTATAATTACTAACTTTGTGTGTTCAACACTATTTATAAGAATTAATCACTTCAGCACAAAAAGAAAATGAGTGAAAATATTAAGTAATGGTTCCAAGATTGAGCCTTGAGAAATTGAAGTCATAACTTTCTTCAGGATTTTCATAATGACATCTTGGTGTCCTTCTTTCCAACCAGTCTCAGGTTTACTTTCATATCTTAGTACTAATTCCTTTTGTTGGCTGGTACCACAGCATTGGCTTTACCTTCTCATAGGTAGACAAAGCCTACTGTTTCCCTTGTCCAAAAGTAGGAGCTCTTTTGTGAATGAACAACACCTACTGACAGTAGATTAGTACCATCTACCTACAACTGACTTATTTAATATTTGCTCTCTTTTCCACAAAACTTCATATCTTTCATTATTCTTCCACTTAAATACTTTATAGGCTTGCTTATAAGTGAGGTTGGGTAAATTCCTTATATTTGTCCAAACTATTCCTTCGTCCTCTATTAATTATACATATGTATGCATGTTATATGACAGTGAGATTCACTTGAGTCACTATGTTGTCTGCTCTTCCAATATTCTGTGATATCCAGAAGCAGAACTTCAGTATAAAATATGGAGCTTAGGGGACATAGGCTTATAGTCCATCTCTGTTTTTGCTAAACAGGGAGCTGTATGACTTTCTTAGCTGATTAATGCATAGGCCTAAATCCAGGAATATCCCTAAACTCAATAAATTTCTGTCCAGATATAGCATTGCAATACCTCATCCACAATGTAGACACCACAGTTTGAGAACTCACCTTCTACTTAATGCATTATATATTTGGCCACTGTGTAGCTTCTTTCAAGAGGAAAAAGACC